TCAAAGATTGCGTGGCTAGCCCAGTCTGCTTTTAGTACCCCCGTTCTAAGACCGTTTCGCGTTTACCTCTTGTCCTTCAATTATCCTTCTCCTCAGAAATGGAACCTAAAGCCCTGCAGACTACTGAGGTCAGGCGAACGGGCCTGTTTATGCTTCAACCGTTATCCCTACCCTCCTGCCCCTTCATGCGTGCGAGAGCTATCCTTGCTTTTCTCCAGTCATGTTACCACCCTGACTTCACGGTCTTATTAAAACCCTATGGCAGAAGAGCTATAACTTCCTGGGTTTCAGGGTTGGTAATCCTCTCGCTGCCCTTAATGTTTTGCTTCAGCAGCCGCAGTGTTGATTTCGATTTCTTTCTCCCTGTCCCTCTCTTGCTCCTCTGACGTTTTCTATCAGCTTAATTGGAATGCCAAGAGGAACTCGAGTAGTTTGTGGTTCATTCTTTCGCCTAGTTGACTGTGGTCTCACCTGCACTGCACAGTGGCCTCATTACTTCCCTTTTTGTCTAACACTAGTGAAGCAATTTGTTGTTTTCATTTTCTTTTCTGCATGCACTAAGCCTCTTTTTGACCATTCTTATGCTCCCCTGAAATTCCTTGACTCTCAAGACATGACTTTCTTTGCTGATCGGTCTCCTCTTCCAGGCTTCGAATTATTTCCAGTCTTAAAACATCATGTCATGCCAGGTCAGAACCAAGGTCTGTCTAGTCCAGGGTGTTGTCACAGCAGTGCCACAGATGCAGGCTGCAGGGGATTAAAGAAAAAAAAAAAAAAAACAAACGAGGACAAGCACGTAGATCTAACTCCCTGGCATACTCTCCTAGCCTTCTGTGGCTGGCAGCTTGAGGAATCCCCTGAATTAGGCACTGCCGTATTTAACATGCCCAAATGTTAACTGGTCTAGTCACTTTTTGAACGTGTGGGATCATTCAGGTGCCACAGCCTCCTGTGACGAGGAGCGTGGGGAAGCACCTGGGAGGAATGAGCTTCACCCTCCATAGGTCCTCTTTCTTTTTGTCCACAGTGGCATTCTCTACCTCAATGATGACTTCCAAGGTGGGGGCCTTTTCTTCACTGAAATGGACACTGTGACTGTCACAGTAAGTCTGGGACTGGCCAAAAGAAGGAGGGAGGACTGAGGGTGAGACTTAGTCTGGGCAGGAGGACATTAGTTGGCTATTGGATCCCACCGCTCCAAAAACAATCCGGTGCCGGTGCTGTGGCAGATTCAAATGGGGACAGCTAAAGGCAAATTGAGGCAAATCTCGGACAGAGGAGAGGTTAACTCCTTTCTAGCTGAGATGTTCCAGGCTCTTGCAGTCTGTGGGTGTCTGTGCTGTGGGTTGTCCCTTTGATTCTCTCTGCTCCCCAAGGTCTGTCTTGCTCACAGACTGGCAGTGGATGCCTAGTGGATCTCTGCTCTTCCACGTTCCCAGAGGCAACCTTACCTCTGTACAACGACCGTATACCCCAGAGCAGGGGGCTGCTGGCTTCATTGTCTCTTCTCTCTCCTGGCAGGCTGAGGTGCATCCGAAGTGCGGGAGGCTGGTAGCCTTCAGCTCTGGCAAGGAGAACCCCCATGGCGTGTGGGCAGTGAGCCGCGGCAGGCGCTGCGCCATTGCTCTCTGGTACACACACTCCCGGGAGCATGCTGAGCAGGTAAAGGAGCACGCTGGAGAAATGGATACGAGTACCTCTGAGCTAGATCAAATCCCTCTGAGGAATGGCTTGTGGGCTTTCTCGTGGGGCAGGGCCTAGTGCAGCAGCTGGGGGTTGTCCTCTGACAAGGTTATCTGGTGGAGGGGCCGGCCTGTGATGGGTCCCGCAAGAGAGAACGGGCTCTGGGGGGGTTGGATGGATGTGGCAAAGGCAAGATGTGTCTTGTCAGCCCCTGCGAGCCGGGCGAAGACCCTAGCAGGGAGGGGTTCACATCATCCCTGTTTCTGTGGCTGCAGGAGCGGGTGAAGGCAGAGGAGCTGATGGAGCAGAGGGCTGTGGAGCAGCCTGATGGAGAAGAACGTCAGGGGGCTGATCACGGCGGCAGATCCTCCTCGGAGCTTCCCGTTCCCAGCGGCAGCACCAGGCCCACGAGCCGGAGACACAAACCTGGCTCAGACAGGACACAGCAGCCCAAGGAGCTGCGGGCCAGAGATGAGTTCTGAGTATGCGGGGCCCTGGGGGCAGGACTGGCACGCACCGTGGCCTGGCAGGTCTTGGTAGCACCGGGACCGCAGAGGCCTGGAGCAGTGTATTAGCATGCTAGAGCCGTAGCGATGGGGAGGGATGCAGCTTTCTTCTCTGTGACATCTCAGCAGCTGAAAAACGGGAGCAGGGACAGAGTATTAAAGTCAGTGACACCAGGAACTTTCTTCACTGCCTCACCGACGTGTTTGTGTCACTCAGAAGTAAGAAGGCAGGGTCTCCTCACCCCGCTCCTCTTGGTGCCAGCTTCTTGGTCATCCAGGGGCAAATCCGAGAGGGGGAGGAGGAGCCTGGGGTCTTCGAGCAAGGGCTGTCTCACATTCAGGAACTCAAAACAGAAGCCTCTGAATTTCCTAGGTACCTACAAACTCCAGAAACTCACAAGTGGTCTGAGAGAGGGAAGGTGAGGGGCTCTGAATATATGGAATAAAAGCAAAATGCTGGACAGAGATGTTGGTGGGAGCTTCAGTCTGTACGCCAGGAGGGAGGCATACACGCTCATTGCTGATGGAAATTTAATTAACAAATAGTGGAAGGAGATTGAGCCCTCAGTGAAAGAAAACAAAGTATTTACCCAGATGCCAGCTACTTCCAATAAGGGAGAGCAAGAGAAAAAGTCAGCTCTGCCATGACTGGAAAGGGTGGGGAGTGCCTTTAAGGAAAAACACTGTACGCTCACGTTTCCCTGCAGCAAGGCCTCTCTTCCTTTTTTTTTTTTCCCCCCGTTCCATGCACCAAATTGCCCCTGAAAGCAGAAGAGGTATTTTGTCTTATCATTTTCCACCCTGATACGAAGACAATCTGCTGTCACTGCCCAGGGGATTAGTGTCCCGAGATGGGATTATATTGTAGCCAAACAGGAATTGAATGGGGTGGATATGAAATATGAAAAAGAGCAGTGACCCTTTTCCTGGGAAGCATCAGAGCCAGAGATCAATCTGTGGTCATGACATACACAGGCCGTGATGAGAGTTGTGCGTGGAGACCCCCAACTACGGTTCAGCTGGAAGAAATCTGTAGGGCCAGGGCCGGTGGTGGGAGAGGTGGGTGGGTGATGCTGTTGGCACAGAGCCCCTGCTCCGTGGAAAGGGAAGCCTTTCCTCAGCCTGAATCCCGGCGCGTCCTTAACATGCAAGCTTGGGAGACCTGCACCAGTATCCCTTTTTGCCTCCCGTCCTTCCCAGTGTCCCAGGAAAAAGATAATTTGATGTGTGCCTTTCAAATTCCCTCTCCCTGGCAGGAGGTCCGTCACATCCTAGCACTCGCATGTCCGTCCCGATGACTTCTGCGGGGGCACTGGATGGCTCCCGCTTGACAGGGACGTGTTGGAGGGTGAGGGGCCAGCGTCCGTATCTCTGGCTTGCTTTGCCCAAAGGTGGCTTGGGTGATTAGACTGATGGCCTCCTGACGTCAGATGAGATCCGTTAAAAGGTATTTATCTCGGGCTTGGGCCAAAGCCGCAGGAGAGATTAAAAGAGATTGAGGCCAAGATAATCCCCTCACAGCATCCCGCTAAAGTGGCTGCCAAAAGGCACGCCACCAAATCTTTTGCCACCCCTGGCCCCTGTGCCCAGTTCTGTTTTCCCCACGCGGAGCCCAGTTTGCTGCCCGGAGAGGGTGCGACCCCCAGCCTCGCCACGGGTTTTCCCTTGGCAGGGCCACCGTGGGTGGCACCATCCCTCTTCCCACCCTGCCCGGGACGCGAGTGGCACGCTGTCCCCGGGAAAATGGGAATTCCTGTGGACTGTGAGGAGCAGCAAGCCCTGCCCCAGTGGCTGATAATCCTAGCCTGTTCCGGCTAATCTTCACTTTATTAGTTTGTTGCTGATATAAACAGAGGTAGTCAAATCCGCCTGTGATGGTTTCTTCCCCTTCAGGAGCAGCATGCTACTCTCTCTTTTCACCCCTCCCCATCCACCTGCTTTGCATTACGTCCCAATCCGATTTTCCCCAAGTCTCTGGTGTCTGATTTAATTTGCCTGACGCTGCTCCTGGAATCAGCCCTCCCCCAACCCCTCCCGGCCACAGCCTTCCAGCTCCCCATGGGGAGATCAGTCCTGGGAGAGGCTGAGGAGCAGAGAGGGAGCAAGGCACTCGCCGGGTGGACGGGCAGGACTGACTGGAGAGACCGGACAAGGACAAGGGGCTTCTGGCCGGCGGGGAGCCATTCTCAGCAGGGGACGCAGGCTGTGAGGGTCCCATCCAGGGGGGACTGCAACCCACCTCACTCTACAGATCCCGGTAAGGATGCCACCTTCTTGTGGTGCCTGAGGTCACCTTGGTGAGCCTGGCCCTTGGGACCCCGGGTTTCTTGGTGTGACGCTGTGGGGAGTTTTTGTACGCGGGCTGATGGCATCTGAGGATGTGGGAGGGAAGATCACGGTGGGGAAGGAGTTGGGGTTAGCGCTGAGATGTCTTTACGATGATGAGGGGGTTTGCATTGGGATGGGGTTGCTTGGTCTCCCCTTGGCAGGTAAATCTCACCAGTTTCCAGACTGGAACAGGAGGGTAACGCCTCCCCTGAGGGACCTGGCACTTGTTACACGGTCCCGCGCTCCCGGTGCGCCCCTGCGCTCACCGCTTTGCAGCTGCCTGCTTTTCTGGATGGAGAAGGAGCCCTCAGAAAGCGAGGAGCAGAGCAGGGTAATTCTGCCCTGGCCTTTGATCTCCATCCCAGGAGAGGGGGATCATCTCTGTATCCGGCTCTGCAAGGAGCCCAGGGTCACCAGGGCGAGCGTGCGAGGCCAGCCAGGGATTACACAGAGCCCCAGGGATGCTGTCTATTAATACTCAGGCATCGCTCCTGCACCTTTCCCTTTTCTATTTCCAGCCCTCTCCCAGCATCCCGGAGGGAGCACTCCCTCCCCAGTGCGGGGAAAGCTACCCAGAGGATAGGAAATAAGGGAGTTCACCTCCCCTTTCTTCCCACCCATCACTTGCGCCCCGATCCGCACAAGGGAGTGATGCAGGTGGCTGGGCAGGACGGCCCCTGGGGCGCAGGCTGGGCCCCCGCCGTGGCACGGTGCGAGGGAGGTAGCCGCTGCCCTGAAACGTCATGGCGTGGCAGCAAAAGGCAGAGGGTGGATGATTCCAGACCCCCCTCAGCCTCACGCCGCAGTAGAGGCGTTTGGTCTGCTACGAGCAGGCCCCCAAGGACTCAGGATGGGTCTGGTTGCCCACAGACAGGCGTACTACAGCAGGTGCCTCTGGCAAGTTTGTCAGAAAAGGCAGGAGGGGGAAAAACTGTCACGTTGGAGAGCAGAAGAAATGAAACGTGGTTTCAAAAGCCAGTAACTCCGAACTGGATGAGCACAGCCAAGGCAGAGCTCAGAAGAGGGCTGGCGTGAATTGGCTAAGCCCAGGCTCTGTTTGGCTGTGCTGCTCTCCTCGGTGATGCTTGTAGGAGGCACTGGACCAGTGCTGGTGCCAAGGTCCTGCTGTCAGCAGCTCTTTGCAGTGCTGGGGGGTGGTGGTGAATTGCTTTTTCAAAGGTACCCAAGGACTTTGTTTCCTCTACTGCTTAGCATCCACCAGAAAGAGCCCTTACTTCCAGAAAGCACCGAACGTGCACCATTTAGAAGCCTTTCCCACTAAAACCAGGCTGGGCAGCTACCGTGAGCAACCGCGAGCTGATCCGCAGATCCACAAGGAATGTGCATCCCTAAGGTCCCGCTGGTCATGGCAGGAATGTGCCTTGGCCAGACTCCAGACTCCATTCCCCTTTCCCCTGTTGTTCCCCCATGTCCCAGCCTAAATTTACACGACCGTCATGAGCTGCTCTTTTGCACGCCGCCATGGGCCTCCTGGGAGGCAGCCGCACTCTGCTGGGGACCAAGTACCTCACTCTCCACAAATTGCACTGGGACGTGACGGGTGGAGGCGACAGGCGAAGCTGGAGCTATTATTATCACTCATCTGTGGCTCCTTGTCCTTCTGAGACTGAGAACAATTCCCAACTTCATTTAGAGCCTTCTCTGAAAGGGATTTAAAGGTTTGGACAGAGTCCTGAACCTGAGCTGCACCTTCTCTATATTTAGCCCTTTTTTTTCCATCCTCGACACCCTGCCCCTGCCCTTTGATCTGCCTGCCAGCTCCGAAAGCCCCTCATCTGGTTGTGCAACCTGACAAAGCAGGCGCCCGTGAACCGGCTCTCCTGTGCCAGCGTTGAGAAAGAAACACCCAGGGAAGAGAAGGGGATGGTAAAAAAGCAGGAGAGATGCAAGACTGGGGAGCCGATGGGTGGTGGGGAGGACACGTGGAGGCAGCTTCACCTGGGGCAGAAAATGGGAGGAAAAGCGAACAAGGCTCCCACCTCCATGCAGGTCTGGGTGGGCAAAAGCAGAAGTTTGCAAAAATAGATTAGGGCGGGTGGCTGGATGATGATCTCAGATGGCCAACGGTCTGTGAAATGACAGCCAGCGCTGTTCCAGCTGGGAGAAGCTCTAGGAAGGGATTACCACGGGGAGGCCAGGCCTTGGGGACCAAGCAGAGGAGACTGGAAGGAGAGAGTAGAGAGGGAAGAGGTGGCCCAGCAGGCAAAGTCAATCTAACACTTACGGTTGATGGAGGGGACGTAGGATTAGTCCTGGGGAAAACCGAGAAAGGGGAAGGCGTGGACCACAGTGGTAGGGCTGGAAGGGTGGCTGGAAGTTCAGGTTTGCCACTTGGTGGGCTGGGAGGCAGCAACCAGAGCTGGACACAGGCTCTGCAGCTCGACTGTGCACCAAAGCTGAGGGGCAAACCCCACAAGATAAGGGGGATGTGCCTGGGAGATCAAAGGAAAACCACAGAGACGTTCAGGGAAAGGGATTCTGGAGGGAAACTCAAAGAGCTCTACAAAGCAGCGAGCAAAGGCGGGACTCGGGAGCTATCTGCCTGTGCTTGCCCACAGCAAGAGAGCAACCTGGCATGGAAGGACCCAAAACCTCGTTGGCTGGAAGAAACAAGGCCTTCAGGCAACAGGCCACAAGGGGAACGGAGGCGATGTGGCTCACAAGGACTAGAAGGAGAAATTCTGCAGGTACTGCTGGAGCATTTCTTGGGCTTGGGCAAAGCTCTGGTTCTAATGATGAAGAACACCTGGAGCA